CCCCAAAACCCCAAAACCCCAAAACCCCAAAACCCCGAGTCATTGAGTAGATGTTGGATCTAAGTTTTGTTGAATTTGAACTTGGATAGAATGGATTGGTGAGACTGTTTTTGAGGTTAGGAGTAGAGGACGGATGGATTGGGTAGTGACAGAAGAAGGAGAAGGTGTTTAAGTTCTTGACTGTTTTTAGATAAGTAGATTTTGATTTTTTTGAACTGAATTAGAGGGAAAATTGTGAAAGACTTTTCTTGAGTGGTCTAAAGAAGACTCTTAAAGCAAAACTAGCTAACTTTTCTCAAAACTTAAAGGCCTTAATTTCTAAAACTATATACTATTCAAAAAATTTACAGTAAATCTAAAAATGCTCTCCTATATCCTCAACCACCCTGAATCCAAAAATGTTGCCATATTGAGATTATGTTCCTTTGATAATTAAAATCTTCCTAAACTTTTAGTCAAAGTTTAGACCTCAAAATTACATTACAGCATCCATTTCAGGCTTCTACTAATACATCAGGATACAACTACTAGTCTTTTAAGTAGCAATACGCAAGGATTGGCTCAAATGAGAAATTGTCAAACTTGTTACTTTTACCATAAACTAGCAACTAGAAGGAGCTTTAACCTTCCCTCTCTGAGGATTAGCACGTCCTGTAGAGATACCTGATAGTAAGAATAGAGGAGAAAGCTCTATTTATTTCCAACATTGTTGGCTCTGTACATTTTCGCTAGTTAAAGAGACATAAGTAAGGTCTCTTAGATTGTACCCTCTAAAATTCAAAAGCGTAAGTAATCAAGGCTTAAACTCATCGAGAGTTCATTAGCAGCAGCTTGAGGTTCTTCAGGACTCTAGGAAGATTATTATTTTATTAAAAGAGCATATTTGTACCTTCTTAGATGATAAGGAGCTCTAAAAATTTTGCATTTTTATTTTTCTTTGAATATCCAGACTTAATCCAAACGAAAGAAGTCTTTTATAGCCCAGACTTAGAGTCTATGCCAATATGGCAGAATAGTCAAGCTCTTGGGCTTATTCCTTTGAAGCTACCAATGCTATTTCCTTCTTTACTAATGGCTCACAGGCTTACTTGTCTGCTAAGGTTCGCAACCTTGTTTTAATTTCTAAAATTTTATTAAATATTATCGCTAAGAGAGATGGACGATAAGGATACTTATCCAACTCTAAAGCTATTTTCATTCTTTATGAATCCAGTAGTAGCTATCAACGAATAGATGTTAGTTGAATCTTTGTGGGGACACCTAAAAAAAGAAAGATACTAGTAGTTTTCCTAAAGTCATTGAAGGCTCTACATACCCACCTCCATGTTGAAATATTGTTCAACAAAATGAGCAATAGTTCGTTATCTTTCGCTCTAAAGTTCATGTAAATGCCTATTTTAGAGATCTACCTTCAAATTTGTAGCTAAGCCAGGCAGATCTCCAGTCTGAAGGTTGCCTGTCAGTCGAAGTTCTGAATAACTTGAATCAGAGGTTCTATTTCAACATTCACTCTGTTGAAAATTAGCCAAGTAGAAATTGACTTGAAAGTGATAAGCTCTATTCATTGAGGAAACAATTTCTAGTCAAAACTCTGAGCGATTCAAGCAATCACTTATCAGTTTTAGGTTTGGGCCACGGATTAAAGAACTTAGAAATAGTTCAGAATCTTTGTGATCGCTAAATTCGAAGAATTTCTGAAGAAAGTATACTCCATCTAAAAGGAACTTCTCTTGCTTTGAGTTCATACAAGTAAAAAATGGCCTAGAGAAACATTTGCAAACTGGATAGACTAGTTTTGGCATTAACTCACGGAAAGAGTTGATATGTGTGAAACTAAACTCGATATCCAGAACTCAGCTAGCTGATAAATTATGGGAAATGACAATGAGCCTCTATGCGAAGCCTTTTGGATCAGAAGTCTCTCTTCATTATTTCTAATTTAGAACTGTTAAACCCTAAGATACCCCAGTCTTCAAGATGTTAGCCTATAAAAACCGCTGAGCAAGAGCCCATTTTATTTTAGTTGAAATTTTATATGAGAAAATTCGAATCTTTCGGAAGACTATTCTCTCTTACATAAACCACTTTAAAAATGGAATATAGCTATTAGAATCATACTTTTTTATAATTTCAAAACAGATGGATTGCTTTAAGACTCTATCCTGCTGAATTACAGGATGATTTTAGAATTATTCAGATTCTCATGCTTTGAGAAGACAATAGAAATAAAATTTACCACTTTGATAACTCTTCTAGTTAGAAACAGAAGTCGTTCTATTTCTTTTACATTATATTCGGAATTTTTCAACCTCACTTGATCGTCTGACTAGTTTTATGGCGAACTTCTCAAGAAAAAATTGTGAGAGTAACCTGAAAGCTTAGTTATGCTGATTTTAGTATTCTCAACTAAGTCTGTTGTTATTGAGATTAGATATAGCGCTGATGGAGGTATGTACAATCGTGAAAATTTCTCTCTATGTTAGAAAGGTACCAGTATGCTCATACACACTCCTTCTTTGTTAACATAATTCGCTAACGTTCATGCACAGCTCTGAAAATACGGATCTTCTAACCAGGCAGGTTTATCCAATTACCCTTCTAAAGGATGAAATTCTGAAATCTCAACACTCTTTGCTAACTTATATACCTATGCATCTCTTCCTATTTCCCAAATTTCCAAAATCCCAGAAATTTACATGCAAATTCTGACTCTTCTCCCCAATCTCCAAAGCAAAAATTCCAATATGCTCTTCAAAAATTTTATTTCCCTTATTTTCTCATACCCACAAATTCTCAGTTACCTTTCCACTGCCTCTAAGCCACCCAAAAACCTCCAAACTCCCTTAAAACCCCTCTTAAACCCCCAAAAACCTTCCTGAACCCCTTTCTCCCACTAAACCCCCACCAAAACATCTATCACCCAAGTACAAATTCCCAAAATTTCCCATTCTCCCACTTAAAAATCCCACTAAACTCCCTAAATCCCCCACCTTTCTCCCTAAAACCCCCAGTACAAATCCCGAACAAAATCATAAAATCTCCCCTACAGTGGCCCACTCCAACTGAACAGCACAAGTCTTCCAGTCTAGGAAGAATAATTCAGATTTTAAATAGAGTTTTCGCAACGGACTTTTAGGCTGGAGATATTGGGTTGGAACTTTCTTAATAGGGGTGACACAGTAGGAAGTTGGATGAGGAAGGGGGCTTAGTGTGTGGGTGGGAGGCTGGGGAGGTGGAGTGGGGATTAGGGATGTGAGGGCTTTTGGGTTGAGAGGAGGTGTGGACGGGGAGAAGAGGGTGGGGCGGAGGTGTTGGGGTTATGGTAAGAGAAAAGAAGGAGAGAGGTGCTGAGACATATATTTAAAAGCTACCAAATCGATTATAATTAATAAAGAAAATGTTATCCAATTACTCTATCAATTCGGCCAATGCTCAAGCTCTGTCAATAGTAAGTGTACATACTCAAAATCTTTTCTAACTCTAGTTTTGTATAGGCTTATTACGAAATCCTTGAAGCAGCACTATCTGAAGTGTTTAATCAATTTTGTTGGGACTGAGATCTTTCACAACAGCCAAAGAACAACCTTGTTCTACCAGAAGCATTGAAAAGCAGAAAAACCACTGTTGGAGATCTCAGCATGCTGTGTGAAAGTCAGAATGGATCTCCTGTAAAACAGACAAGCCTTAAGGCTAAGAAAAATAAGCTTCCCGACGTTAAGAGCAACCTCACCATGATTCTCCAAATGATAAATGCCAATTGAGAAGTGAGCTTCATAGCAACCACCAAGAGCTCCAGAGGCCTGCATAATGGAGCCTCCAAGAGGAGGTCTCAGTACATTGGAGTACTCGGTAATGGTAGTCGCTGGCAAGTACTAATCAACATCAGTGGCAAGAAGAAGTACATTGGAACCTTCGGCGATGAGAAAGAAGCTGCAATTATGCACGATTTCTACTCTATTGGCCTCAATAAATTGGATGCTAAAACCAACTTTAGCTACGAAGGAATGACTGTGCAGGACATGATAATGAACTATCTCACTAATGATGGCTGCTTCAATCCATCTGAATTCCTAACAAGAGTATAATGGAGGTCCTTGAGCATCCATTTTGTATTTTCATAGAAAGTTGATAAAGATATTCTCAACACATTTCGATTGTCAGGGGTTTTGGGGTTTTGGGGTTTTGGGGTTTTGGGG